CTGCAGATAAATTATGAGACTTGGTAAATGGGGTGTGAAGTCCCAGTCCTCAGTACCCCAGAAATGACTGTCCCCGGAGACAGAGCCTCTGGGGTAATGAAAGGTAAACTGAGGCAGAGTGGGGGGTGCTGGTCGATAAGGCTGGTCCTCAGCAGAAGAGGATGAGGGCAGAAACAACCATGTGTAGGAACCCACATTGAGAAGGCAGGGGCCGGCCTCAGAAGAACCCGGTCCTGCTGCCACCTTGAACTTGATCTTCTGGCCTCAGATCCATGAACACATTGATTTCTCTTGTTTAAGCCGCTCAGTGTGGGGTTTTTTGTTTTTGTTTTATACCAGGGATCGAACTTGGGTCCTTGTGCTTGCTAGGCAGACTTCTGGCCTCAGATCCATGAACACATTGATTTCTCTTGTTTAAGCCGCTCAGTGTGGGGTTTTTTTGTTTTTGTTTTATACCAGGGATCGAACTTGGGTCCTTGTGCTTGCTAGGCAGATGGTGGAACCACTGAGCTAAATCCCTGGTCCCAGTTTGGGTTATTTTTAAGGGCAGCCCTGTCGAACTAATATCACAAGTAAACTTCAGAAAAGTATTTAACCCAAGGTCAACAGAACAGTCAGCAACCACAGAAAGAGAAGTAAATGATATTGACTTTTGACATTTAAAATAATAAATAAATCATTGCCAAGCAGGGCAGTACACACCTGTGCTCCCGGCACTCAGGAGGTTGAGGCAGGAGGATCACCAGTTTGAGGCCAGCCTAGGCTACATAGCAGGACCCTATCTCAGAAAAACAAAAATAAGGGATGGGAGTAAAAATTATCAAGATCCAATAGTGTATGCACCAAGTGCCCGAGATGAATGTAATCACTATATATATCCCAAATATATACTACTAATGCAATATATTTTAAAAGAGAAACAAAAAATTATATGGAAATATAAAAGGCCAAGAATAGTCAAGACAATCTTGACTATAAAGAAAAAAGAGAAGACTGTGTAGACCAAGCACCAAGAACTACTAAAAGGCTACAGTGATGGAGACAGACCTGGGCTCCTCTCTGTGCTCAGCACGGAAGGGCTGGCCAGCGAAGTCGTTGAGTTGAACTGGAGAGATAAAAGACCTTTTCGTGCAGAACTACACGGCGCAAGCAGAAAACACAGTGAGTGCTCCCATTTTCAGTGAAAGTCACATTGCTGCGAATCCCTCCAGATCCTCTCCTCACTCTGGGCACACTCACCCCGTCGTCCTCTGCACTCTCTGCAGCTCGGAAGTCCCTTTTCCTGAGGGTCTTTAGTTGCGCCACCCTCGCTGCCTAGATGTCCTGAGTTGACTCAAACTGCTTCCTTTTCCTGGTCATTTTGACTCTGGCGGAGAGCCGGACGTCACACGATTTCAGATCCGGTGGAAAAGACAGCCGAGGACACAGCCTCGTCATTTCAAGAGCTGCATTTCCCTGGATGGCGCTTGGGAGCCACAGTCACCGTGTTTGTGATCATAACTTAATAAGACACTCAAGAAAGGGGACTCCGGAGCAGCAAGCGGCCAGGAGCCAGACTTGTGGTGCACACCTGCAATCCCAGTGCCTGAGAAGCCGAGGCAGGCGGATGGCCTGGGTTACATCTCGAGTTCAAGGCCAGCCTGAACTATACTGCAGGACCCTGCCTCAGAGAGAGAGGGAGAGAGAGAGAGGAGAGGGAGAGAGAGAGAGAGAGAGAGAGAGAGAGAGAGAGAGAGTGCGCATGGCAGGGACGATGGGCTAAGTGTGTCGGAAGCGAAGCGGAGGATTCAGAAGGGATTCGTGGCAATACGTCTTTGACTGTAGGAAAGTTTTAAAAATGTAAACACTCACCGTATACCTCGATGACCCCTTGTAACCCTCAATCATATCTGTGACTTCCCCCTCCCCCGCCCTGATTCCCGGGAAGTGCACAAGAATTCTGCATATCTGCAAAGGCTTTCAGGACTTGTTTTTTATGTCTTTCTTTCCATCGTGGCTGGGGATCTGGAAATCTTTCAGTTTTCATTTCCAAGCTCGGAGCTGGGGAAACGAGTTGTTTTCCCCTGACACTGCTCGAAGACCTTTCCCGTGTGCGCCCCCACCCCCGTTTCAGAAAACAGGCCTGAGGCTGAATATTTCCGCACAGTGATATTCGCTCACACGTTAACCAGCTGGGCAGACTCGGCCTAGGGGCTGGGGAAGCCAGGGTTTCCAGAAAATCAGGTTTCCAGAACACCCACTGAGGGGGCACAGGGACAGACGAGGGGCCGGGGAAGACAAGAAAACAAGCATCACAGCTCAGCCCAGCCACAGCTGGAGATCGGGACACGGATTTGGGGGAGGGGGGGCAGGTGTCTGGGGCCGTCACAGCCCAGGCACAGAAAACGAAATATAAACAGCCAGTAGCCTGGGATGGTGGCACATGACTGCGATCCCAGCCCTCAGGAGGCTGAGGCGGGATGGTAGAGTTCTAGGCCATCCTGCCCTACACATCCTGCCCTGTCTTGAAAAAGAAAACAGCCAATAAACGGGTGCAAATCCAAAGAACAACACGATACTATTTTCCACAGAAACTAGGCTACATGTGGCGGCGGCCAGCTCCCAGCACAGTTTGGGGGCAGGAGGAGGGGAGACTGGCACTGGCTTCTTGGAAGATGATTTGGAACCAGCCACCCTTGAATCTAGCAACTCCAGGGCTAATTGACCTGAAGGATCCCAAGTCTTCACTGGGGAATCTATGCTCAGGGGCGTTAAATTCACTGCAAAATGTAGAAGATACCACCTGGAACTCACTATGTAGCCCAGGCTGGTCTTGAACTCACAGCAATCCTCCTGCCTCAGCTTCCCAAGTGCTGGGATGACAGGTGTGCGCCACCACGTCCAGCTCACCATGTCTAGTCTTGATAAAATAATTTATCATTTGTCTGCAGAGGAGGAGAAAACGAAATCCCCCACAGGGGTTAGGTCCCCTCCTGTTCCTTGCTTTATTCTCTATCAGCACCTGTCTGCGGGACACCAGACATTCAGGGGGCGGCTGCCCGCCCCTTCCAGCTTCACCCAGTGGCTACCCTCCACTCCCGCCCAGCCGACCCCTAGTTTGCATGCAGGAATCCAGCCTTTCACGCCCCACAGACAGACCAGCGGTGCATACGAATGGCTTTCTAGTTGTTACTGGTGAAGTGTTCCCCGGGGACAAGAGAAACCATTAGCATGGTAATGACCCGGCCAGACTTCAGCCCCAGCGTCCTTCAAACTGGAAGCTGCTGGCCCCAGGCTGAGGGGTTAGTGGGTTCCCCTCCCCTCATCTGGGAGGTGCGAGAGGTCTTGGCCAAGTGGAAAGGTCGCAGGAAGACTCCAGGACGGCCCCAGGGCCTCGGGATGGGAGTGCACTTTTCTCCTGGGCTCAAAGGATGGTTTCTTTTGAGTGGTTTCCTTCGGTAGGTGCACAGCTACGGAAAAGATCTGTCCTCCTCTACACCCGTCCCGTCCTTGGAGGTCACACAGCAGGAAGTCTGCCTTGATTGCCATGTTCTGGTATCTGTGGTTGGAAGTCAAACTAAACACAACTCCATCTCTCTCGGCCCGCGGCAGCTCTGGGTCGTTCGGGACCAAAGCCCTCACCTTTCTTCTTTCAGCTCAGCCCTCAGGAAGGGGAGGCACTGCCGGGGACCGGGGTCGCTGTCCCGGGCACCTCCCTGGCCCAGGCCCTGCCTCTGGCGCCTCTGCCGGTCTCCGCAGCGCCGGGGATGGCTCAAGCCCTGCCCCTCTGGCAGAGGCGCCTGCAAAGCCTCGCCGGTCACCAGAACAGTCTTCCGCGACGATCTTGCTGCCCCGCCCGGGCCCCGCACACCCGCCCCCGTCCTCAGCGCC